TGACTATGCCACTCTGTACCTCCATTCATACATGTTTGAATAAGTACGCATATGTTTCAGGCTAAAATTAGTTAATATAAAAATTAGTGTTCCTCCTTTGTATACTTAAAGACTAGGGAGAGAATCCTAAACAACATTCAGATCTCATGACTAAAGATTAAAAATTGGTGTCAATTATACTGATGCAAACTAATCTTGACTGACAAAAAATTTTAATATTTTATTTTCTCTAACCAAAAGTCTAGCTTCTCCCTAACAGCTTTATCTCTAGTTTCAAGAAGAAGCTAGTTTTAAAATGAGTGGTATTATAAGGACAACTTTTTTATTTCATATTTTTATACAATTTTTATATGCTATTAAATGAGTGTATGCATTCAATATTACGGGTCCCACATAAATTAAGAGAACTAATAATTTAAATAATACGTCAAGTTGTATAAAAAAGTGGGATAAAAAAGTTGGATAAAAAAGTTGTACAAAAATCATTTCCCTTCTAAAATATACAAGGAGTCAAAGATGAAAGTGTATACCTTGCATGTGAACCAGATCAATAAAATCAGTGTCACAGACAATGGCTTAACTGTAACCAACAATTTCTCAATGGATTTATGGGGTCCATGACTCAATAATCTCAGTCATACATGTTTCAATTATATATCAGATACTCAGCATCATTCCACGAGAAACAAGACAAGTCACATAACCAAATATCCTAAATCAAACAAGAGGTCAGGAATATGTGACAATGATGGGTTCATTTGCTATGTCTAAATTTATGTCAAAAGGATAAGCCTCAAAATACACTCCAACAACAAAAATATCACAAGCAAATGGCATGGCCAAGAAACCCAGGACACATTCAATTCCAGTAACAACTCAGACAGGAAGTAAAAAGATTGACAAAAACCTAGGCCCGGACATATCCACATAGAGCAGAAGTGCTAAATTTGACTTGTGAAAACGCATCTCTCATCCAAATGCCCAATATTAACTAATATAAGAGAGCCTATTTCTATCTTTAAAGATTAAATAACTTGCAAGTGAAAGCCCAATTTTCTGGGCCTTACTCGGCCTATATTTCGTTTGGGCTTGGCCCATGGGCCTATTTGGTTCCCTACTTCTGTCGAAAAAGAATTCAGAAAAGTGAACATTCTTTTATTTTATCATGATTTTTTAAATAAAAAATAATTATTTTAATTAAATTTTAATTATTAAAAATAAAAAAATAAATAATTAAA